GAATATCCCTCTCATATCATGGTGGAATCCATTCAGACAGATCCACTGGTTTGACCGTAAAGACGACAGAAGAGGGGACAGGAGACTGGACCAAACCTACACAATACTCAGACAATGCAAAGTAAAAAGGTAATCCATGAAGATATGGTTCCTTCCACCCAAAAGATATGAGGAATGAGCTTTACCAGTCAGTAAAGCCCCATAACTACAAGAGCAAAATGAAAGTCAGTCAGGTAAAGACAATCTTCTCCTCTTGGCTCTGTAGCGTCTGGAACACTCCAACACACAATATATATTTTGTTAGCTAGATTTCACAAATACTTTGTAACACCCCAGGACGCCGAACAAGACCCTGGTTTCATGGTAACCCGATACATTTACAACCTTGTGGAATGCGAGCCGGCTCTCATTCTGCTTTCTCCAGAAACAAAGGGACACAAATGCACAGGAGAAATGGACTTTTCTACTAATTAATTCATAGGAAAACCTTCTTTGAATGAACGCCCATTGTCTTCAGGCCAGTGTGTATATTATTGCTGTGTTGTATTTAATCTGTTGTATTATAGACTATTTTTATTCATGCTTACGATAAACCACTCATTCATATAAGATACAGTAAGCCGAAAATATGATGTACATGTGTAAGTTTCCACTGACAAAAACTAGACTAAAATTCTCAGACATTTAGTCAACTAAAACTTGACTAAATCTAAAACAGGACAAGTTGACTAAATATGATAAAAACTAAAAGTTACATTTGACACATGACTAAGACTAAATTAAAAATAGCTGAACAAATTAACCTTAACATAGCCTACACACAATAATTATTTAAAAAGTAAGGAGATTTTGATGGCTTCGCAAAGAAAAAAAAATAAATACATGCTTGGAAATGACAATTTATGTCTGTCACCATTATATGTCCTCTCTCCTTTTAATTACTGCTGTAGCCAGCACAATTCCCCTTGGGAGGAATACATTGCTATTAAGTCTCACCTTGTCCTTGTGGTCTTTTATCAAACTATAGGTCAAAATGAGAAGGACAGTAAGATTTAGTCTTGACTCCTCCTTGGGCAGTTCCTCAGCAGCTAATACATGCCATGGTGGTGGTAACAGTAGCATACATCTCCTGGAAAGGAAACAAGGGAAGTGCTTAAACCAAGCAAGACTGGAATGGTGATGGCCCTGTAGATGACAAAGAGTTATGAGAAACCCAGGAGAGGTGCTGACTCTAAGAGTTCTGGGAGATGAGACGACAAAGCATCAACTCAAGGTCCTTGTTGGCCGCTGGGTCTGGCCGTTAGTTTGGGGGTGAAAACCCAAGGACAGACTAAGGGAAGTCCTTCACCGCCAACATAACTCCCTACAAAAATGGGACACAAACTGCAGGAGCCTGGTGGACATCACATCCACTGGAAGGCTATGAATGAGGAAGATGTGTTCCATGACAGTGGTCAGGGTTGGCCAATTAGATACAGCCAGGAGGTCTGGAAGACAACCAGGGCATTCGTCAGCCAGACAGGCATGAATGAAATGCACTCTTAGCCGGTATTCCTCCATGAACATAACTGCCCCTGCAGCAACTCAAGGGCTGAAGACATCAGAGAAGATTTAATGTACTTGTCCATGGAGTAAAGTACCTGGCAACAGATCAAAAGCAGTCTTAGGGGCGATGCAGAAAGAAAATCTCAGACGCGAACTGAGATTTTCCGAATATCCCTCTCATATCATGGTGGAATCCATTCAGACAGATCCACTGGTTTGACCGTAAAGACGACAGAAGAGGGGACAGGAGACTGGACCAAACCTACACAATACTCAGACAATGCAAAGTAAAAAGGTAAGATATGGTGATATGGTTCCTTCCACCCAAAAGATATGAGGAATGAGCTTTACCAGTCAGTAAAGCCCCATAACTACAATGAAAGTCAGAAAGTCAGTCAGGTAAAGACAATCTTCTCCTCTTGGCTCTGTAGCGTCTGGAACACTCCAACACACAATATATATTTTGTTAGCTAGATTTCACAAATACTTTGTAACACCCCAGGACGCCGAACAAGACCCTGGTTTCATGGTAACCCGATACATTTACAACCTTGTGGAATGCGAGCCGGCTCTCATTCTGCTTTCTCCAGAAACAAAGGGACACAAATGCACAGGAGAAATGGACTTTTCTACTAATTAATTCATAGGAAAACCTTCTTTGAATGAACACCCATTTTCTTCAGGCCAGTGTGTATATTATTGCTGTGTTGTATTTAATCTGTTGTATTATAGACTATTTTTATTCATGCTTACGATAAACCACTCATTCATATAAGTAACTATTTCATGTCTAGTATCTATGAATTTGCCTTCTTATGATCGAAACAAGCGTGGATATTATATGGTGGTACATAGGCAATATATATTAGGGCCCTGAGAATCATTAATAATTTCGATTTAAGTACATTTGCAAATTACCATGCTTCGAGAACAAAGGGTCGTAAACCCTCCAGCAATTGCCACCTCCCGCTCGGGAATTCCATTGTGCTCATTGGACAAGCCCATCTTGAAAGGCGGAGATCTTCTCCGACCTTAAAGCCCCGGCTCCAGGGACCCGCTCTGTTCGGTGGTTGAGTGAGATGCTAAGATGAAGATGTGAAAAACGCTCCAGGATACCA